CTTGTAATTTATCTCTATGCTTATTAAATACATGACAATAACTATAAAATTAACATTAAAATCAATTCAAATTGGAAACAAAGACCTTTTTAAATAAAGATTTGTGAAAAATTCATGAGTCCTCCCATTTAGGGTTGTCTTCCATAAATTGTTTAAATATTTCAAGTTCTAGAATGTTGAATGGATATAAACAAGAAAGAAAAAATATTTGTTGTTTTTCTTTTTAAATTTTACTTTCACATGTGTCATAGAAGGCAAGATTTAAGAAGTTGAATTTTAGGAATTGGTTTTTTATTTCCATTGTATATTCCAGGAATTGAACTTGTTTATTAAGTTTACATGCTGAAGCATCTTGTCAGTCCCTATCCAAAACAAACAAAACATTACATTCAAAAGAAATATTAATATCATTAAATGTATTAAACAACTGCACCCCTTCATGATAAAGGTCGTGGAAAGATCAAGGATACAAGGAACATACCTAAACATAATTAAGACAATATACAATAACTCAACAACCAACATCAAACTAAATGGAGAGAAACTCAAAGCAATCCCACTGAAATCAGGAACAAAGATGAGGCTGTCCACTCTCTCCATATTTATTCAACATAGTACTCAAAAGTCTAGCCATAGAAATAAATCAACAAAAGGAGATCAAGGGGACAAAAATTGGAAAGGAGGAAGTAAGACACTTGCTATTTGTTTATGACATGATAGTTTACATAAGTGACCCCAAAAATTCTACTAGACATCGCCCACAACACATAAACAAGTTCAGTAAAGTAGCAGGATAATAGATTAATTCAAAAACATCAGTAGCTCTCCTATATACACTTGATAAATGGGCTGACATGGAAACCAGAGAAACATCACCCTTTGCAAAAGCCACAAATAACATAAAATATCTTGAGGTAACTCTAACCAAGTAAGTTAAATATCTGTATGACAATAATTTCAAGTCTTTAAAAAAACAAACTAAAGAAGATTTCAGAAAATGTAAAGATCTCCCATGCTCTTGGATTGGCAGGATTGACATAGAAAAAAATGGCAATCTTGCCAAAAATAATCTACAGATTCAAAAACAGTCCCCATCAAAAGCCCAGCACAATTCTTCACAGACATTGAAAGAATAATGCTCAACTTCATATGGAAATACAAAAAAAAATAGTCAAAAAAATCCTGTATAGTAAAGGATCATCTGGGGGCATCACCATCCCTGAATTCGAGCTCTATTATAGAGCTATAATAATTAAAACAGCTTGGTGTAGGAATAAAAACAGACAAGTGAACCAATGGAATTGAACTGGAGACCCTGATATCTACTCACACACCTATGACCACCTAACTTTAAGCAAAAAGGGTAAAAATACAAAATGGAAATAAAAAGCATATTCACCATGTGGTGCTGGTATAACTCTGGCTGTCAAAATGTAGAAGAATGCAAATAGATCCATATCTATCACCATGCAGAAAACTCAAATAGAAATGGATCAAAGACCTCAATGTAAGTCCATCCACACTTAACCTCAAAGAAAAGTGGGATATACACCTGAATGCACAGGCACAGGAGTCCACTTCCTAAATAGAGCGCCATTAGCACAGACACTGAGACAACTAAAAATGAGACTTCCTGAAACTGAGAAGCTGCTGTAAAGCAAAGAACATGGTCAACCAGACAAAATGTCAGCCTATAGAATGGGAAAGGAGCTTCACCAGCCTCACATGTGGCAGAAGACTGATCTCCAAAATATAAAAAGAACTCAAAAACTTGATATCACACCACCATGTGATCCAATTAAAAATGAGGTATAGATCTAGCCAGAGAATTCTCAACGGAACAGTCTCAAATGGCAGAGAGACAATTAAGGAAATGCTCAACATCCTTAGTCATTAGGGAAATGCAATTCAAAACCACCCTGAAATTACATCTTACAGTTATCAGAAAGTGAAGATCAGTAACACCAATACCAGTTTATGCTGAAGACGAGTTGAGAGGGCAGAACACTCCTCCATAGCTGGTGGGAGTACAAACTTGTAAAACCACTATGGAAATCAGTATGGTGATTTCTCAGAAAACTGGCATATTCACACCACAAGGACATTTGCTCAACTATGTTTATAGCAACATTATTCATAATAGCTAGTTCTTGAAAACAACCTAAATGCATGTCAACTGAAAAATAGATAAAGAAAATGTGGTACATTTATGAAATGGAGTACTACTCAGTGGTAAGAAGAAAGGACTTCTAAATTTTGCATCAAATGGATAGAACTACAAAAAAAAACATCCTGGATGAGGTAACCCAGACCCAGAAAGACAAGTATGATATATACTAACTCATAAGTGGATACCAGACATAAAGCAAAAGATAATCAGCTTATAATACACAACCCCAAAGAAACTAGACTCCTCTTCCAGAAACAGATGGAAGCAGATGCAGAAATCCAAAATTAACCATTGAGCCAAGCTTCTGGGGTACAATTGGAGTGAGGGAGGGACGGTAATATGAGCAACTGAGTCAAGACCATGATGGGGAAACCCACAGAATCAGCTGACCTGAGCTAATGAGAGATGACTCGCTCTGGTCTGACAAATGAGGAAGCTGCATAAGACCAAACTAGACTTTCTTAATATAGGTGACAGTGGTGTGATTGGGACAATATATGAGGCAACTGGAAGTGTGTCTAAGATCTAGCCCTAAGGCTCAAACTGATTAGTGGAGCCTATTCTATATGGAGTAATATCTTGCTCAGCCTAGACACAGGGGTGTGGGTGAGGAGAGGTACCTTGTTCCTGCCTCAACAAGATGATGTGGCAGAATTAATATATTTCCTAGAGGAGGCCTTACCCTTTCTGAGGAGCAGATGGGAGGTGAGGGGAGTGGACGGAGAGGAGGGAGGGGGAACTAAGATTAGAATGTAAAAAATTAATTAATAATAAAAGGAAAAAACAACTGCATGAATGGCTATCGTGAGGTTGTATGTCCTTTTCATTTGGCAGGAAATATTTACGTCAATCTAATGGTGTGAGGTAGTGTTACTTAGTCCTTAACCTATGCAGATAGTGTTCTGTCACACATGGTAGCTTGGAGATTATGTCACATTCTACTATCAATTTTGTTTTCAATCACTTAGGCATTATCACAAGTGAGGATCAGAAGACAGACAAAGCTGAAATGGAATGCACTCAGCCCTTGAATGTGTTAATTAAAGAATTACTAAATTCAGTTGAAGACCTTGAGTGTTCATATCAAACATAAACAACCATGATGAACCAGGTGAATTTCCTAGAAAGTCCCATAGATTTAATAAAAATTGTGTAGGTGGAACAGATAGAAAAACACCTACAGATCATATCTAAATATCTACTAAATTACACAAAGGGAATTCTAAGCATGTAGTTATTCTGAAGGCTATATTATCAACTTCCTATCTCTCTCTCAAAAGGCTCCAGGAAAATGTATTGATTGCTGTGTATTGAGCAAGCATTTCATAAGGTATTATTCTCTTGGTGTTGGTGATGATGCCAAGAGAGTATCTTAGCTGTAGTTTTGGTTGTGGTGATGAAATATCATGGCCAAAAGCAACTTAGGAAAGAAATTACTTGTTTCAACTAAAATGCTCAGGTCATTCACCATCACTTAGCAGAGTCAGTGGCAGGAGGGGGGCTTGGAAGCAGAAACTAAAGAATTTATTGAGGAATTCTGCTTACTGACTTGTTCCTTGTGGTATGCTCAGCCTACTCTCTTACATACCCCAGGACTGCCTGCTCAAGGATGACAACACTCATAGTGAGCTGGACCCACCCCATGAATCATTAATCAAGAAAATTCCTGACAGACTTGCCTACAGATCAATCTTGTGAAGGCATGTTCTCAACTGAGAGGCCTTCTTTCCAAATGATGCTAGCTTGTATCAAGTTGATAAAAACAACAACAACCAATACACCGGAGTTCTGTGTCATTATTTTCCTAGGGTAAAAGAGTATGCAAGAATGGTCCTACCTAGTTTTAACTGTCAACTTGACACATCTTAAAATCAAGTGCGAAGGGCATTTTCATTTTAGGAATCACTCAGATCACATTGGCCTGTGAACATATCTTTGGGGGATTCTCTAGATTGTTTCTCAGTTTAGGAGGGCTTAGTCTACCTCCTGTGTCATTATAGTATGGGCATTGTGGCCCTGGCTGTGTAAGAAGGCTAGATAAACATGATCGTGAGAGAGAGAGAGAGAGCTAGTGAGCAGAATTCCTCTATGCTTTCTATTCCATGTTCTTGCTCAAGCTAATGTCCCAACTTCCCTCCATGATGGAGTGTAATCTGTAAACTGAAATAAACCCTTCCCTACCCTGAGTGACTTTATTACAGCTACAGAGATGAAAATACAATAGATGGGAATGGAGTGACCTTGGGGAAGACTAGCATGTGACCTTAAAGTTCTGTAAAGGTCATTTTGATACATTCAATGGGTAGGATGATAATGCCTTATTTTGAACACACACAGGAGTCAAAATGAATAGATTGAAAAGCAGCACTTCTCCCCCCAACTGTGCAGGGATCAGCAAGACCATTATCAAGACGCTTACTCTCTGTGAAATGGTTTGTGTTGAAATTATTTTTTAAGGGCATCATTTCTCTTGGCAAAACTTCATTACTAATTTGCCAATTGAATATCCCATAAGATATTGAAAGGCGTTAGTGAATGCAGAGTGAGTATTTTGATTTAAGTAACATGTGCATCCCCGTTGTTCAATAATAATAGGATGGATAACATCTACTTTAGGTTTTCAAATGTAATTTATGGTGATAAGACTGTTAGACAGCAGATGGATGAGATAATGGGTGATGCACGTACTGCTGGAACTCAGGTAATGATTGTGACATATTTTGCATAAGGTTATGATAATCTGAAAACAAAGTAATACTTCTTTTAAAAAACAGCCAAGGAGACTGATTAATGAAACTCTGATATAAGAAGTGGTCTGAGTCTTATGCTGCAAGACTTCTGGTTTAATTTACACAATTTTCCTTTCACACATGTGCATGCTGGCAAGTTCACATCAGAGGAGGCAGCTGAGGGTGGACCATTTCAGAATTTAACATTGAAGGAGCATGAAAAACTCCACTGGGTAAGGTAGGCAAATAATTCCTGGCTGATTCATTGGCTCATTTGTGCTATTTCTTTAAGTAAAATCAAGTCAGATATTCAGGGCTGCAGTCTCAGGATATAACGAATTTTTCTTCCTTCATTCTGTCTTCTGTAACAGGAATGTTTGCATATTTACCTGATAAACATTTTGTTTCGGTGAGTTTAGTTTGTTTCTTTCATTATTCTGTCAGGATGAACTCTAACTGATTCTCCTCAAAACTATAAAAGTCTTTCCAAGATCCTGTAGCCAGCAAGTGCCATGAAGTACTGTACAAGCTTGGGCCATGCCATGCTACCTTTCTGTGAGTAGAGGCCATTACAAAGTGTTCCAGTTCATATCTGAGAAGACAAATGCTCTGCAATAAAGCCAATAAAAGGAGATATTATCTCAGATATATATTGTTAGAAATGTTATTAAGCAGCCAAAAGAGTCAAACGATACAAGGTATGACTAAGAAAAGTAAATTTCAAGGTTTTTTTATTCTTTTTTTTTAAATTTAGATAAGAAACAAGGTTGCTTCACAAGTCAGTTCCAGGTCCCTCTCCTTTTCCCTCCCCTCCTCCCGTGCCCTCCCCCCATCCCCCCCCCGTTTTGTGTGATCTCAGTGATGTTGGTAAAGGACATCCAAGAACTGACATATACAGTGAAATCAGACAAGGACTTGATAGGCTCAACCATAGTAGTTGAGCTACTGAAATATTCATTAATAGCCAGGTCCCCATAACCAGGAAGAATAGCTAATCCAGGTTATAGTAGTGTGTAGAGAAACATGGGTTACAAAGAAAGTGGCATCTGTTTATACTTCCTCTCTGCTTTGCATGTGATAATAGAGATGATGAGTGAGAAAAGGAATGTGAGTGCTAAGTCCTGCAGTCCCAAGGATGCCTTGAGCTTATATATGAGGGCCTGCCTATCATGGGGAGAAAATACCACATCGTGACCTTCCCCTGTAGAGAGACTCAGAGAAAGACCTTGCTATACTCAGACAAGTGGGACTGAATGACAATCACATCACTGGACTTTGCTGTGCTCTCTTGAGGTTCTAGTCCAAGGCTCAGAATTCCCTGTACTTGTCTGGTTTCCCCCGGCAGGGGTGACAGGTTTACACATGGTGTTCAAAGATCCCTTGGCCATGGGCCTTTGGAGACAGACAAGGAATGTTCTCCTAAAAGCAAGTGTTACAACAATATCCAAATGTATTTTCAGAAATAAGAAGGACAAGAGCAGTAGAAAGTGTATGGGGATACTTTAGGAATGTAGCAGCAGTGATAACCTTGTATACATGGAAAAACTTGCTTTCAGTTCCAGACAGGTAATTCTTAAGAAAGTGTTAAGACAGAGTCCTCTGCATTAATATCAGCAGAATGTGAAGTTCATTTATGGATGTTACTGTTGGATTATATTATGCCTAATTCATCAGACAACTAAATCAAACTTGATATGTTGATGTACACCTATCATACCAACCTTCTGGAAGTATTTAGGATCCTAAATTCTTGATTTACCTGAACTATGTATTGAGTTCCAGGATAGTCTGGGGTACTACCATGACCCCTCCTTATAAAATGAATCTGAGTGAAACAAGGGAACAAGACAACAAGGGAAACTAAGTGAATTTTAAGGAACCACTTTGATGCTTCACACATATTTCATAGCCTCCACAAGGCCTTTAATCTTCTGAATAAGAATGTGAATCCAGGGTCATATAGTCCCAGCAGCATCTATCCAAAAGAGCTCCTCTTTTAGACAGCGAGAGGATCTGTGCCTCCATTCCTTCCCTCCCTTATGCCTAAAACCCTAAGAGACTCTATCAAAGGAAAAAGCAATATATCAAGACTTAAATCATACTCAACCCCACAACTGTAATAAAATAAAGATATCCATTTCTGTTAAGAAGAAGACTTCATTTCATAAATGAAAGCCTCCTATGTATTGAAATGTGCTCCAGGTCTCAGGTCACAGGCACCCCAAACTTGCCAGTGATAGGTTCTGTATCCTGAGTGGAGACTCTTAGGAAAGTCTTCAAATATCTTCATTCTTGCCTTTGCCTTCTACAAATTAATCCTGTAATACCCATTTTGAGGAGGGATAGGAAGCTTTGGACATGTGTAACAAGGACGTGGAGGTCCTCAGATGAAAGGAGTCTCACATGTTGGAAGGCATTATCCTTTCTGCATGTGTATTTTCTCCTATGGTCTAACTGAGGGGAGGGATTAGGGGGATTAATTGCGCATATGATCTGTCTAATCAGTTGCAGAGAGCACAGAATGCTCATGACCTTCAAGAGCACTGAATAAAACAGCCTGTGCCAAGTTTCCCCAGCTTAGTGAATTGTATCCGTGAAGACTGAGCTGGGCAAGCAAAGGCTCTGCCGAGTTCCTAGATGCTAAACTGAGAAGGGGCTGAGAAAAAGCAATGGCTGCAGAAAAGCACTGAGATCCGAGGACAAAGGAAAAGCATGTTTTAAATACCACATCTCTTGTCTTAAGGTGGTTTGAAGGGTGAATATATATCAGAAGGAATACACATCTTCTGATATCTTTTACATTTTGCTTCCCCTTGACAGTTAGAGATTAATAGCTTCATCCTCTGAATTCTTTAGTTGTACATAAGTCTCAATCATGTGTTACTCCAGTCTGTTATTAGACACCTACCAAGAAGTTCCCATGTAGAGAAAGCCAGGATTATTGTTGCAAATATCAATAAAGTTAAGAATTATTAATTACATATGCTTCAAACTGCAAGGTGAGCCCTGACTTCAGAGTCTGTCATTTTTCTCCCCCCCCCTTTTAAATTTAAGTTAGAAACAAGCTTGTTTCACATGTCAATCCCAGCTCCCTCTACCTCCTCTTCTCCCCTGCTCTCCCCACCAGACTCCCCAGTCCCCCATCCAATCTCCACTCAGATCCCCAGGGAGGGTGAGGCCTCCAGTCTGTCCTTTCATCCAGTGCAAGGCCTAGACCCTCCCACAAGAGTCCAGGCTGAGAGAACATCTCTCATTGTGGGGTGGGAACTCAAACTCTATTTGTACCCCAAGGATAAATACTACCCAAGGCCCCATAGATTACCTAAGCCTCCCTAATAAGATGGGAAAGAGTGACATGTTAGATGTACTTGCTCTGACAAGTTTCACATGGCTTCTCACCTGTAGTGCTACTAATACAGATAAAATTTTCTGGAGACATGTAAACCAAACAAACTAAATCACCTGGATTACTCAGGAAGCTCTATCTCTTCTTGTGTGAAGGAGTTAGCACCACACTTGTTTAGGAAGTGGACAGCTGGGAACAAGATCATCTCCTTCTTATCCATCACAATTTATGCAGATGCATGGGCATGGGGTGCAGACCTTATGAGGAATGAAATTGGAAAGACATAAACATTGGTCTGTAAATAAAGATATAGGAGTTGTTAAGATTATGAATTTAAGTAGATTGTAAAAAAGATTTTAAAAAGGTATCAAATACAAAGAAGCCCCAAAGCTGCAATCAAAGCTTCACACTGTGGCATGGGATTACCCCGCATGTACACTGTTCATTATCACCAACACCATCCCCAGAACCAGCACACAGTTGGTTCACTGTGTGGAATGACCATCTCATATTTCACTGTGTGTGGACTCAAGCATTGGATAGAAGTTTAAACACTTTCTCTACGTGAGCTGCAGATGCTTAGAAATAAAAAAAAAGAAAATAGTGAATCTATAGTATTGATTAAGGTGAGAAATGCAAAAACAAAGTTTAAGACAACAAAACCATAGATACTAACATTTACACAGCCTGTCAGGGAGTCAAAAGAGTCTGTAGTGTGGTTGAACTCTAGCTTATCCAGGCAATGAACCTTTCCTGAATGTGATCAAATTTCCCAGCACAGAAGCTATGACACATGCTGAATGTTTTGCAGTCTGAACATCTACAATCTACATCTAAGTCCATCTTCAAGATAGAGTTTTCTAGCAAATTCACACAGCATAGTATCTCCCAAGCACCCACACTGTTCTGGCAGAGCAGCACAGTATAGTTTTGATTGTCTCTCTCGGCACTATCATACTATTCTAATTAATATGAGCTGAGTGTTACTGTCATGGCCTTCAATCCCCCAAAGATCTTCTACTCTATGCCTGCATTCCCACCATTTAATGCTTTATTCATATGCGTTAAGTGATGCCCTCTACCCAGTGTCTTCATTAGAATGCAAATTGTACTGAAACAAATATCATTAAATAAATATGAACATATTTATTGTGTCATATTTCTTTCACAAGAAACATCAGGTGAAAGGGGGAATACTGGCTACCTAGGACTGGGAAGACATTGATTTGGGGATAAAAGGCTTTAAAGGAAGGTTAACATAACCTTGATGACAGAGCAAATGAAACAAACAGAGATAGCACAATCATCCTTAGCTGCTGTATCTGATGTGGGTTTTGTTGTTTACACCTCTGAGTATCACAGCCTTATTTCATTCCCTTATGCTACAAATCCATTTCAGAGTCCAATGAATAAATGTCACAGTCTTTGCTTCCCGCTTACGGAACTGACTTCAGTGTCCTCCAAACCTATAACCATCAGTTAGCACCCAGCATCTATAGGAGTGAAGTATGTGTTAATGAATATTAAATAATAAGATAAATTGGCAAGTACTGGGTTGTTTTGATTCATGCAAGCGATAACGTTTATATATATGCATATATATGTTTATATTTCAGGGTACATGAATCAGAATACATAAAAATGTTTGTAATTTATCTTGATTCTTAATATTTATTAATGTATGATACTAATAAATTTTAGTGCACACACTTGTAAATTTTTAATATATATTTATACTGAGAGTTGAGTAAAGAGAGGAAGTATTAGAAATAAAAAAGCAGGATGATAAATGGACTCTTTCACCCTGTTTAAAGTTTGTTTTCTGAATAAAACAACCTTGTGGTGTCAGAGCAGTTTTTAATTTCTTTCCTTTGCATTTTTTTCCTTTTTTTCTGGTGAAGTCATTGCAGATGTGCTGATATTTCAAGCAGACAGGCAAACACTGAAGGGTGACTTAATCTAGACCTTGAAGGGCTGAGAGCAGCTCTCTTTAGTTCTGCAACTGGTTCATGAGAAAAGGAAGAGAAGGCCAATCTCACAGGCGGCCAACCCATTATCCTTTTCTGCGTCTTTGCCACCTTGTACTAATTGTCCTTCTAGCTGCCCCCACTGATCCTAAGGCTTAATATAAGTCTAAAGAAGTTGTTTCCACTATGGGGCAGATGACAAAGGAAAGGAGCAAAGGGTATTTAAACTGTTTAGGGACAAACCCGGAGAGGGGGTTGGATAGAATATAGTACATTGGGGTTTGAATCTGTGAGTAGAAGAAAGAGATTCCCTTGAATGGTCAGAAGTAGGGGGACCATTTAGACTTTAAATGGTTTAAATTTTAGAGGCACTGTAATACAAGTAAATGGTGTTTTCTTCTCTTGGATCACAAATAAATCCATCTCATATTCTTGCCAAAGATGATAATAAGTAAGTGTTTAGAGAGAATGGGCTAAGAATTGCTTAGTGAAATTCTGTACATTATTGTTACATATGTTATCTGTTTGTGGAAGGATTGATGAATAGGTGAATGGATAACAGGAATGGGATCACATGTGCATAGTAAGTATAAGATAAATAGAAATTAAAATATTTGAAGTTACAATTTGGAAAATTCTATTCCGTAATTAAAATTATATTGACAGAGTCCCAATATGTAAAGACCAAAGCTTACAAAATTAACTGTGTTTATACACATTGATTTATTCATTGATTCAATACACAGTATGTACTTACTGTGTACACATGATTTTTCTTAGGTGTAGGCACAGGACAGTGAACATGGTGTCCAATTTCTTGTTAGTGACATTAACAGTTGATTTCAGCCATACAGCATACCCCATTCCAGCTTTCAGAACACCTTCACACAAATTGCTTTCTTCTGTCTCACAGTCATTGGGCAAGGAGAAGGTTATTTTATGTGCTAGGACACTTGGGATCTGAATTAAATATCCTGGTTGTAAGTTAAAGAACTCAGAAACACTCAGGACTGTTCAAAATGTGTCTACATCATTTTCAACAGACCTCTTACCTTCTCTACAGAAACGGCTGAAGCATTCTATATTGACTAAGAGGAAGAGAACAGAGAAGAATAAATCACATTTAATTGATTCATTTATCTTTTAAAGTCACTGGTCAAATGTCTTTGGACTGAGCTCTGCTACCCCTTAAATGATAAAATGTTGTATTACAGTATGTAAACCTTGGTTAGATATCCATATTGCTAAAACCAGGCACAAGTTTGCAACTTAATCTCTGATATCTTTAACAAGAAGAAGCATAAATTAAGTAAAGATGGCATTTTGATGCAAACAATACTTTCAGCTAATATATTTTTAAAATCCAAAGTTAACCGGTTCTTGCAGGTATTGTCCAGAATACATGAGTACACATGTGTGTGTGCTCACATATTCTCACAAAAACAACAAACCACATGAGCTCACACTAACAAAATGAAGCTATGAATGTACTGTGAATCCAAAAATTTATACTGTTCTCACACAACTATCTTTTCTCTCATAACTGCTTAGAATCCCTTAAAGAGTGACAGGAGAGGTAATGTGTAGCTCTCCTTGATTTGAACATATGGCTTGGCATTGCTGAGAGTGACCTTGTGTTAGATTTTGCCTGCTGGCCAGCCATTCTTACTACACTGTGACCATCAGGACCTAATGCCTCCTTAATGACAACCTTGTCTCATTCCTGGAATGCTAATGGCCCCACCTCAAGAGACAGCTTCATATCTTAGCTTGAACACAAGCTCCCTTAGCTTCAAATATTAATCAGAAGCCTGTGGCTAATAATAGATTGTCCTTCTCATTTCTGATTTCAGTGCCTGATAACAGGAGCAGCTTGGTAAGTGCTAAGGAATTACAGATTGGAATGATCCTCTAAACTCATTTAGCCACCTACTCCCAGAATATGCATATTGGATATCCCATTAACTGACCATTCACATGTAGTAGGTTGCTAAATTACTGAGTCCTAACTAGCCATCCCTGGTTTCTTTTTGCCAAAGAAAAAAAGAAACACAATTTGAGGTATATATACTACAGCAGTACTAAGTATCTTTTTATGCATTGAAGTCATAAAATGAAAATATAATGGTCTTAGAGACCATTATTATTGCAGAAGGCATATGGATAAATACATATCCTCCATATTATATAGGGTAAAATTTGATATTTCTAGGTGAGAGGCTATTTAATTCTCTCTCTCTGTCTCTCTCTCTCAATTTCTAGGTAAACAAAAGAAGGTATGGGTCTATCTTCTCACACAAAAGGTGTCATTATCTGTCAATTTGCAATTTCAGAGGAAAGAACCTCCATTTAAGAATGATGATACATGGTAAAGGTTTTGATACATATTAAGTACTTATAAATATCTCAATTTTTAAAAACAAGGACAAAAATAAGATACCATGTTTATCAAGTGTGATCATGTCTCATGTCATAGTAAGTATACACCCATTGTTTTTACCAGCTTCCTTCTCTAATATATTTTCTGTCTGTTCTCATAATGATAGGTGGCCAATGAGTCTCAAGTGCAATAAAGTATTACCATTCTATAGTCACTCACAAAAGTTTATCACATACACATGTAGAGGGCAACAACAATGGCAGTCATTTCATCATAGAGTTCAGGGTCCTTCTTTTATCTTTATTAAAAAGTAACAGGGAAAACGTATGGTTGTTAGGTAGGGTTAAGGGCACAAATTAAGTTTGTCCCCAGTAAAAAAATAGCCCCCACTAACTTTTGGGTTCCCATTATTTGTAGAGGGGATTGCTCTAGGACAGAAATTCTTACATTCATTAAAAGCATATAGCCTTACTTCACTTTTGAGTGGTGTTGTCTTTACTGCCTTAGCCTCTCGTCATATGAAGAATTTAACAGCTGTTCTGCTATTTGGTAGCTGTTAGACTGAGTCAGTCATTGGGGCCCTTCAATTCAATCCTCAGAGTAGAATAAAAAACAATAAAGCAAAATACCTCAAATTACCTGATTCTGTAGTTGTTATGGGTTGAATTGTGTTTTCCCAAATTTATATTGGGGAGTTATAGTCACAGGTCTGGAATGGGAATATATGTGACCTTTGTAGATACATCAAATAAGAAGTAATTTTCAGGGAGGTCCCAGCTGAATATGACTGTGGCCTTTATCAACAAGGAAACTGGAGGGTGAAAAGCAGCCAACAAGAGTGGGTGAAAATGTACAAATAAGAGGCTAGATGGTGGCCACTGGCACAAGGATCATTGATATATTGGGAGGA